TGTGATAAAGCTAGTGATCCTGATTACATTGAATTTGAATATTTTTAAGCAACGTTGAGGATTATATTTTTTTGGAAAAATTATTTTTTTTCCTTTCACGTTTAGAATTCTTTGAAGTGTACAATATGATGGAACTAATTCTTGGAGTTACAAATTTTCGCTTCAAATATCAGTTTTTTTTCTATAATCGGATAATATCGCTTCAAATACCTTAGCAAGTTAACATCAAATAGTACCACATCAAAAAATATGAATATTGGATAACTAGTATTCAAACTTTATTAGTCGAATTTGGATTAAAGTATTTTACAAATATTCAGGACAATACATGTAACCTAGTAGTAGTTGGTGTTAATGTCTCACCATGTTATTGAAAAATTGTCTGGAGGCAAAAAAAATTTCAAAAAGTTTCAGAGGGTTTATTACGGATAGAGTGGAGGCTGGAGCAACCTGATGCAAAATGCTCAGGCATGAAACATCACAAATCCTCGAATGGAATTTTAGTTTGCTTGCTAACGTTGTAACGCGAACGACGTCGTTTATTTCCTTCTTCTGTTATATAACTATTGGGCTGAACATAAAGCCCATTATATGTTTTTTTTTTAGTTAAGTGGGAAAAAAATATTTTTGAGATACTGTAGATCGAAACGAGAAGCTTTGTTTAAAGACTCTACAATGGCAGCTGGGTTGTTTCGAGCAGAGATGTCAATGTTATCCTCTACATTGGCGCGTTCTTATTCGATTCCCTTCCGCAAAACTCTAACAATCTTCGATTTTCGAATTGCAATGGCACGAAATCCTTTTCCCAGAATTCGACGTTTCCGTGTTTCTGCTTTCAGCTCGTCTCCTTCGCATTCACCAAGTTTTCCAATTCCAGGTGAAATATTTCATATTTGGTTACCGAAACCTGTTTTAAGAATAAAATCGAGTAGCTACGAAACTTTTAAGGATTTCTCGTTAGCTTTTATGTTCTTTAAAGTTCGTCTTTTTAATTCGTTTCAGGTCTAGAGGATGTTTTCGTTGGTTATCTATTTGGGAGGAAGAAGGCAACAGAAGTAGCTCATGTGTGAGTACTTTAAACCCAGAAGTTGATCATATGTCTTCACATTTAAAGATTTCAGATTTTATGTACCTTGGAGCTTTAGCTATTATAGCCTAATATATGAGAAAGTCCGACTCTGGATTAAAGAAAATTGAAGCTTTTGGACCTTAGTATTATGGATATTGTTGATGCTTTAAGCTTGCTTATAATGGCACTGCTGATTATTTACCTTTCAGTGTGTGGGAACAGGTGATCCAAAAGGGTGATATGGTCGTTGATGCTACATGTGGAAATGGGAACGATACTTTAGCAATGTTGAAGATGGTTAGGGATGATTCCGATGGTTGTGGTGGCCATGTCTATGCAATGGACATTCAGAAAGATGCCATTGAGAGCACTTCCTCTTTGTTTGATCAAACCGTTGGTTCAAAAGAGGTTAGATGATTACCAGAGTTCGCTTCCATAGCAGTCTGGTTCAATTCAAACATCGTTAAGGTTGTTAAACTAATACCGAGTCTTGTTCTATCTCTGCTGAAGAAATGCAGAAGGAATGCGTCAAACTGTTTAACGTCTGTCATAGTAAGATGGAAGAAATTGTCCCTGAGAACACCCGTGTGAGGTACAGTGTACATTCGATGAGCCGATGCAACATTTTTGATGAATCCTTGGCAACAATTTCATCGCTTTACCGGTTTGGTTATTACACTGCTTTAGGCTTTTCACTTAGAAAATTAAAATCTTTTTTTTTTCTATGATCTTAGGATGGTTGCATTCAATCTGGGGTATCTTCCAGGTGGAAACAAGTCGATAATCACTGTCTCGGATACAACATTATCGGCATTGAAAGCTGCGGAGAGAATCTTAATGCCTGGTGGCCTCATCAGCTTGGTGGTTTACATTGGTCATCCTGGTGGAAGGTAAAGATTTTTTGGCACAGAGATTTCTCTGATGATCTGATCAGATGAAATGTGGAGTTTTGTAACATAGTTTGTTGTGAATTGGTTTGTTGTTCAGGGAAGAGTTAGAAGTGGTTGAAGCTTTTGGATCGCTTTTACCAGTCAGTGATTGGGTTTGCTGCAAAATCCAAATGTTGAACCGACCGTTAGCACCGGTTCTTGTTTTCATGTTCAAAAGAGAGAACTGATTCCTCAGATCCAGAGAAGCTCTGCATCACTGTAAAATTGTACACGATAATGTTCTTAGAATCTTAACGCTCAATCATTTTGTATACCCATCTGTTTTATCTTTAGCTCAAAATCTGAAAATTAGTCACATATAAAAAAAATCAGTAAAAAGAAACGACCACGGTGGGACTCGAACCCACAATCTCCCGCTCCGGAGGCGAGCGCCTTATCCATTAGGCCACGCGGCCTTTTTGACTACAACTACATTTACAAATATATTACCCTTAAAGTTAATCACAATCCAAAAATCTTACTTTGTTTTTCCACAATTAGCTCAAAATTGAAAAACAATATTCATCAAATCTGTGACAACAACATGAACATCAGGAGGAACTGTACTTGAGGATAAGAAACAATTTGCTGGTTGTTCAAAGGAACTTTTTTAACAATCTCCACAAAGAAAGATCAACAAAACTTACAAATCCAGAACGTCAAATGTATAAAGATACAAACACTCCGTATCTCGGCATAAAATATAACTCAGAAAATGGACAGAACAAAGCCAAGCCTATGATATATCCACTGGCCTGTGATCTGGTAGCTTTTTGTTGGACTTTCTCATGAAGAAGAACCCACCATGGGCAAGTTTGGTTCGGTTGCCCATTCAGTCCAAGACCCATCATAGATTGGCACATCGGTTTTTCCCAGACGATGAAGCCCCTGACCGGTTAAAAGATATAGCAGTCAGTCTCAGATTTTTATTATATAATCCGTCTAAATGAGTGAATTATGCATATATAAGAGGAGTTAGTTACCAATGCCAAAATACAAGCTGTTACACCGGTTCCGCATGAGGCCATGATTGGACTTTCCAGTGAAATGCCTGCAGATAAACGGTTTGAGTAATCGCTTAAAACAGCTACTTAGAGAGTGCATTTTGTTTTACCTTCTTGTTCAAACTGTTGTTTAAGCTCCTCTGCTGGTAATAGTGATTGAGATGAATCAAACATCTGCAAAGAATATATTATCATATTCACTGGTGTCAAAGCATTCTCCAACTACAACTTAAATACAACGGTAAGCCAATAATGTTCAGAGTTAATTACCTGGGGAAAAGGGACACACTTGCTACCAGGTATATGGCCACTCGGTATTCCCTTGCGAGGTTCTGGAGCAACACCATCAAATCTGTAAACAGAGTAAACTCTAAATCAAATGATACAACAAGCGGAATAAATCTCAGTACTATATAAGAGTGCAGTTACAGTCCAGAACAAGCAACATTTGGAAACATACCTAGGTTTTGAACGCGCATCTATGTGCTGATAAGTCTTATTCTCCATATTTTCCTTGACCTGCCAATTATCCAATTAGCTTTATAAGCAACCTATCAACAAATATCAAACCTATGAATTTACTGTCTTATAACAAAAGTGACATCTTTGGAGATGGAGAACCAGTTTGCTAGTCCGCTTCAATGTCACCAAGGATTTAATTTGTGGAACTATAAACCAGGTGATCATGGAACCAAATAATAACACTATCTTCAAGTTTATGAAATGCTAACCTGATCAAGCGACCATACAAGATGTGACTGGAACTTCGTCTGAAAAGTTATTGGACTAATCTGTGCAAGCAGCAAAGATGTGTATAAACCATAAGTAACAGGTAAACAGACTGAATTTGCAATTTGCAGATACATCAGATTGGCAAAACAAATTCTAAGAATGAACAAACTTACTGTTTGCCCTTGATAAATTTTCTCTACAGCCAAACTTGCTGCACTGACTTTCAGAATGGCATCACTCGAAGCACTAGATTCAACATCATAACCTGAAGCACGCCATTTCGGAAGGCCTCCATCAAGTACCCATACTTTTTCATGTCCAAAGACTCTAAACATCCTGTTTTGATAAAAAAAAACGAGCATTTCATCGATTTGATAACACCTGAAAACCATATTGAGCAAAGAGAAAAAACTTAGGGACATAAGATCTAAAACTCACCACCATACACGAGCTGCACTAAAGAGCCCCTTCCCATCATACACAACCACTCTATCTTTGTTCTCGATTCCAAGAGCAGAACAACCGGCAGCAAAAGCTTCCTCAGACGGTAGCATGTGTGGTAACTGTCACATGAAATTCAAATAATATACCAAAAGTTTGGTTGTTGCGCATTCATAAGACACATAGAAAGCTCATGGTCAGAACCATCACCAAAAGCTGTTTAATAGGAAAAATTCTCAAGAAAAAGGAACTTCACAATCAAGTGATGGAAAAGAACAATACGATTGAAATGGGGCAATTAAGGTCCTTACTGATAAGAGTTCACATAGACATAAAAGAGATTGCAATGTGAAGTCAATTGGTTAGATGTAAAACATGATAACAGAGTCTCTGATGATTCTCACATTTGTTGTTCGGTCTGATAGTCCATCCAAATCAAAGAAGAGAGCACGTGGAATATGAGCAACCTGTAGAGGAGGACAACATACAAGCCAATCAATATACAGTCGTGTACTAACTCTAATGCATAGTTTTCCTTTCCATACAAATTTTTTATAGCGCTTATCCAGAACAAAGGCTTAAAGCTTATATATTTATTTATCTACAAAACTGTACATATTCTCACTTGATACTCTTGGATTGGATTCCTTTGCTCAAATGGCATGTACCATGAGGCATCCAAAACCTGACCAGGAAAGAAACAAGTTACACAAGAATCATGGAAGACAAATTCTTGAAGAAGTCTACAATCTCAACAAGTGTAAATCAATGTTCAGAGACTAAAGTTCGACTCAACAAGAGCGTGGTTACCTTTATATCAGCCTCTCTAAGATTAGAGTGGAGCCAATCAACAGAAACAACAGGTTCGTTGGTAGATATCGATGATGTCGAGTAATCAGCTTTGGGCCCAACTCCAGTAGAAGCCATCACTCGACCAACGTAAGTAGATGATTTAGAAGCTGAATAGGCACCAGAGCGTAACTGTGAGCCGAATGCTCTCTTCTGCAGTAATCATCGTTAACGTAAGAGTTCAGCTCAAGTAAAATCACTATAATTCCAAAACCTTAACCTTTCTAAACTCGAAAGTCCATCACTAGTAGTAGTAGCCAAATTGAACAAACCATTTAACACTAAACGATGAACGAGCAGAAACTAGAAGTGAAACAAATGATCAATCGAAAAAAGGAATTGATTACAACTTACATTCAAAATGGTTGCGAAATTACGAGCCTTCTGCGGAAGAATATAAGACAGAGAGGGATTAATCACGCAGTGACCAGCAATCAATAAAGTTCTTGAGAAAAGGGTCGAAGCCATATCACCTCAATACCATGGATGAGAGCAAATTATTGAGTTAAAGACGACAGATTTGTCACTGTCAGATTCTCCGCGGAAACCAAAAAGCTCGCAAATTTCTCAAGCTTTTTTCTTCTAAAACGATGCCCTCTAGCTGACGCGACTAAGGCCGTGTTTGGTTTTCTTAAATAAAACGCGTTTCATTAAACGGCGTCGTTTTGCTCTCTTCATTAAACGGCGTCGTTTTGCTCTATTCTCCCTTTCGTTCTTCGTAAATCCTCACTTCAACCTTTTCTGCAAGAAACCTAAAAAGCTATTTCTTCCATCTCTCCTCACTGATTCGATCTCGATATCAAAGCTTAAGGTAAAGCTATTTTCTTCCCAGTGGGTACTTCGTTTTTCTAGGGTTCGATTCGATCTCAATCGTTCCGTTATATTGTACTGTTTTTTTTTGTGACTTACGAAAACGGAACCTCAATCGTTGATCGCGGTGACTCCGTTGGAACCCTAGAGTCGTCTTAGAACTGTTCCTGCTTCCCAAGAGTTTTTACTTGTGGAAATAGTGACCCTCTTTTTGTGTTTGTTTTACAGTTTTTTGCGAATTTGCTTAAGGTGAAATGGGTGACAGTCAGTACTCGTTTTCTCTTACCACTTTCAGGTTGAACTTCTTCGTTAATCATACAAGTACATATCTTTCTAGCATTTGGGTCTGTTGCATTGTTTACTTTTTTTTTTCCTGTGGCTAATTTGTGTTGCGTGTATGAGACAGCCCATCTGGGAAGCTAGTTCAGATAGAACATGCTCTTACAGCTGTTGGATCAGGCCAAACATCTTTGGGGATTAAAGGTTTGTCATTGACATGATGGAATGGTTAGAGATCAAAATTGTAGATTTCTTCTGATCTTTTTAGATGAATAATTGGTTTCTTGCTGCAGCTTCTAATGGAGTTGTCATTGCAACCGAGAAGAAATTGCCTTCTATTCTAGTTGATGAAGCATCTGTAAGTTGACAATTTCTCTAGAAATTTATTTCCTAAAGATGAGATTTTTTTGTTTCATTACCCGATATCCATGGTTGTGGTGATTTCATAGATAGTTTATTCTAAGAAATGTCTCTGGCATTAACTTTTCTTTTACGAGTGATTCAGGTTCAAAAGATTCAGCATCTGACTCCTAACATTGGAGTTGTATACAGGTTTTCTCCTCAGCTATCCTGGATTATTGCTGCTGTTTTTGGTGTCATTGCTTGAGTACTAACCTTTTGTGTTTTCTTCTATGAAGTGGCATGGGTCCTGATTTCCGAGTTCTTGTTAGGAAGAGCAGGAAACAGGCTGAGCAATATCTCCGGCTGTACAAAGTAATTTTATCTCTCTTTTGTGATATAGTTCCCATTCTTGAACTTTCTTGGAATCCTTGCTTATGTGATATAGGTTTGGTTTAGTTGTATTATATTTTCTTCATAGATGTTTGCTTTCCTGTCAATTCAGTTGTTTTATCATGTAATGAAGTTTTTTTATTGTTGCAGGAACCCATCCCTGTTACTCAACTTGTAAGGGAAACCGCTACTGTTATGCAAGAGTTTACTCAATCAGGGTAAGTACTATTCATTCACATATTTCATATTTTTACTTTTTTCCCATATTCCCAATGTCTGAATTGCTGAGAAATTTCGAGTGCATAGCTTTGCACTCTCAGTTTGAGATTTGGTATTGACTTGGCATGATGTAATGTTTCTTTATCAAACCTGTACCCATAGTTTAGATCATATAGCCTGTTTCTAATTTTTTGTTACCTTCGTTTGTTAATAGTGGTGTTAGGCCTTTCGGAGTTTCTCTGCTGGTGGCTGGATATGACGACAAGGGTCCACAACTGTATCAGGTATTTCCTCTTTAGGATGTGTATCGGTTGATTTACCACAATTGAGTCCCGCAATCTCTTTTTTAAAACAGTAAACTTAGCAAAACGTGTAGCTGAGTATTTTTTGCATCTGTTGCAATAATTATCACCTTATTTTCTGTTTAAACTGAATTACCATCTCATATTGAGAGTAGAGCCTGAGAATTAAGACTTTGCTTTAGAATTTCTCCCGACTCAGGGTCTAAGTCAACACTTGTTTTTTCGCTAGGTGGATCCATCTGGCTCTTATTTCTCCTGGAAAGCTTCAGCCATGGGAAAGAACGTTTCTAATGCAAAAACATTCCTTGAGAAAAGGTAATATTGTTTACTGTTTGTCGATATCCAAATATGAGAAATATTTGGAACATTCTATAACCAGTTAACTGATCTTGGAATTTTCTTTGATCACTCAAATTTGGTTAGGTTAGGCCCCTGTTGTTACAGGAGACTACTCTTCTTTTGCTGACCAACCCTAACCAACCAAAAATATTTTTTGCAGGTACACCGAAGACATGGAACTCGACGATGCCATTCACACAGCGATACTGACTTTGAAAGAAGGGTAAGTAGATAATCTACGGACTTAAGGTCACTTGATCGTTCATAGTCTTGTGGCTATTAGATTACCAAACCCAATTCACTGTCTTTTATAATGAAGGCACATGACTATATAGCATCGTAGTCTTGTAGTAAACCTTAAGCTATTTCTGATGATGATGCGCTTACACACATATACATGCATACATATGTACCTTTAGTCTTCTTACACTGCCAGAAAACCTGAAAGCCTTTATCTCCG